TAGTGCTTCTATTCAGCAGACTGACTCAGCTTGACCAGAAGAATACATTGAGTGACACAGTCGAATGCCCTCAAAGGTTTTCATTTGTACTTGCTTTACCTGCTTGAAAAATCAGAAAGATCTGCTATTCAAGATCTTCTAATGAATGCTGAATCTACTCTTGAGATCTGCTTGAAGCAAGAGAAGCAATACAAATGAACCCTATTTGAGAGGTCCAAGCATGTGACACATGCATACTGCCCCCTCTAAAATGCCTTCGCTATACATCCCAGCAGCTCCAAGACAGCCCGAGCAGTTGACTTTCGGTATTATAAAGCCAAATTGGTTTTCAGGAATCAGGAAACAGTCTGGAGGTCTCAAAGTATGAATACAGTTTGCGCTTGAATAAGCACTCAAATATCTTGCATATCACCGGGACAAGTGAGATGGGTCGGTAGTTATTTACAGCATCCACATCATCCTTCTTAGATACAGGAACTACTGTTGACTTCTTAGGAGCAGATGGAAAAATACGTTCTTATGCAGCTATTCATAAGTTTTGTTAGAGGCACTATCAAGACATACTTCAAAGTGTTCAGCAATGTGGAACTCATGCCATAAATGTCTTCGCTTTTTTTGTTTTTCAATGAGTCTATTGCTTCTCGGACTTGAATAAAACCAACCTTGGCGAATCATAAAGCATTTGGTTGACAATCAATTTCCACAAGATAGTCGTTGAGTCTCATATTTGTGGGTGGGAAACGACTTAAGCATTCCTCCGCTATGCCTGAAAAAAAGTTGTTGAAGTGCTGGGCTCTCAGTGACTCTGATTCTGCTGAATTTATTTTGCCAGCCTTGAAATGATGTACAGAGTGTCCAAGATTCAATGGTTTTGGCAGGTATTGGGTATTTCTAGAGGAGTTGGAAAAAATCTGACCCCCACGTGCTAGCCTCGATTTTCAAGAGAAGTTGAAAGGTGAAACTCGCATCTCGATATCTAGATTTTTTTTTAAGCTACAAGGGGAAAAGTTGACCAAAATTTCATAAATAAAAAAGTTATAAACCCCCTACCAAACTCCAAACTTTTAAAAAAACCTTTGTAGCATAAAAACGACTGGACATATCGAGATGCGGTTTTCACCAGTCAATTTCTCTTGAAAATCGAGACTCTCAAGTGGGGGTCAGATCTTTTCCAAGTCCTTTAGAAATACCCGAAACCCCCCAAAACCATCGAATCTTGGACACCCTGTACAATATCCCAGCAGGCTCTGACAGTATCACTGGATTCCTCAATATAATTGCAGTATGCTCTGCGCTTTTTTTTTGTCTCGCAATGATGTCTGCCCTGTAAAACCTCTTGAAATCTTTTATATAATACTCCCAGCTCTTTTGATGGTCTACAATAACATAATTCTTTGAGAAATCTAAGAGTTTCACGCTGTTGCTGAGGGTTATTATCATACTGTAGCAAGATTTCACTGCTGCTCGAAATCTTGTGGTCTCTAATGGATAGCAAAGATTCATACCAGTCATAAACCTTGCTCCGTATCTTTCATCTAATTAATTGTTTAATCAATTGATTCATCAATAATCACCTTATTAATTCACGATCAATCAATTTTAATTATTGAAAATACTGTTTTTGTTTCCACACCACACATGGGGTAAAGTACACTACACGTTGCGTTTTTTTTTTTTTTAACTTGATTTGCCCTGTAGGCCTGATCCATTTTGTAAGTAAAATTACGTTTTGTATCTGCAAACGTCCGACGGACATGGTTCGTCAATATCGATGCTTTCACCGGTGAATATGTTTGTTTCTATTTCGGGATCAATGTCGGTTTCATTAAATTCGTCAAATTCTCCTAAAGTCTGTTTTTTTTTTAAAGATAATTCCCCAAGTCAAAAATTTGGTGACTATGTTGGCAACACAAGCCTTTTCTGCATAAAAAAATTGAAAGCATTGACAATTTTACATTGTATTGCCAACAAAATGTCATTTTGACTTTTATCTTTAAAAAAAAAACAGATTTTACTTTAGTCGACAAACTGAAACAAGTATCGAGCGGCAAGTCCAAATCATTTCCATAAGATTCGTCCAGCGTCAGTTGACTGACATTTTCGCAGGTCTTTCCGTTGCAGACACCGCAAGTCATCCACCACTTAGGGCGGGTATTATAAAACTACTTTGAGAGTTAACTTAAAGTTAACTTCCGAAATTACATGTAATTCAAAAAGTTAACTTCAAGTTAACTGTCAAAGCAGTTTTATAATACCCGCCCTTAGAAGGTTCCTGCACCCAGTGGCGGACCTAGGACCTTTGGGGCCCGACGCAAAAAAAAAAAAATGGGACCCTGTCATGCCTTTTTAGGTATTTTTCTTGTGGTGTTAGGGTGTGAGGCGAATGTGCGAAAGTTATTCATATTTTTGAAGTTTTTTACAGCCAAATATGTAAACAGATATAATTAAAAAACAAGTTTATTAAGAATATATGAGATAATATGAAAACACGACACCTACTCCTATAGTACTCACACAGGCATTAAAGCCACCAAAAACAAAAACTAAAAAGCAGCGTACTGTACCTTCCTGTACTCCACCAACAAGTGCCATAAATTATCTCTGGAGTCTGGTTGGAAGACGATAGCTGGAAAAGTCGCGTAAAGTTTATTCGCAAGAATAACCAATAAGGAAAGCCGGAATGAGTTCTAGTATAGAGAGAGCTCGAGACACCGTTGCAAAATGTATTGTAATGAGTGCTAGTCTTTGTATGTTGGTATTTTGAACAAAAAGAGCTTATCCAAACTAACCTGTCCTCGTAATGAATGCTAGTCTTTATATTTTGGTATTTTAGATGAAAAGAGCTAATCCCAGCTTACCCAAACTAACCCGTCCGCCCTTTTTATAAAAAAATTAAAAACCTTGAAAAAAATGTATTGCCTCCAACGAAAATCGAATCTGGGTCCATTTGCTCCAAAAACCGTGCGTATCCCAACTGGTCCCTACCACGATGCCTGTGAAAGTACAAAGTAATTGTAGAAATCGATACATTTGGCAACGGCGGATGCTTTCTGGGCCCTCCACATCCCTGCGAATAGACTCTTTCCAGCAGGATTTCCTAGAGTTAGAGGTATACAACGTTGCTTTTCCTTCAAGTTTTGAAAGGAAAGGCAACGTTGTATACCTTGTAATTTTCGTTTTTTTTTTAATTTTTTGATTTTTTTTTCTTTGTTTTTATCGACGCCTGTAGAATTCGGTTGTGTGGGGCCCCTCAGCTCTGGGGGCCCGACGCAGAGTGCGTCGTTTGCTTCATGTTAGATCCGCCACTGCCTGCACCTAAATCATTACTTGCATTTTTGTTATGTAAGTGCAAGACCAATGGGCTCTTTCACTAAAATTTAAATACGTAATTTAGGTATAAAATCCCAAAGGAGGGACTATTTTAGGCACATATACCAAAAAAAAATGTTCTACAAGGTTAAATAAGTTTTTTACAGGCATTTTAAACTACCAAAATTTGAATTATTTAAAAACGCGCCGATTTGCTGACGTCGCATAAATATTTTTCATTTCGCTTGTTGTTGGAAAGAGCTGTCCGCCTCTGCTGTATTTATCCTGTAGTAAATGCAGATAAAGGTTCGAATGCGCTGTTGTCGGTGGTGACTAAATGTAGTGCAACGTAAAATAAATAAATAAAACTAAACATAGAAAATTATATTAAATTGTGTTTAAGCATAATTTCAATAAAAATGTTATAAAATCTTGAATCCATAACTAATTAATTTAACTACTTTTCATGAAAATTTGGGAACATTTCAGAATTAAATCTATTACAAATTTTCAATGTTGACAATTAGTGGCAACACGGTCAAATAGCGAGCTGCGACGTCATAGAAATAAATTATGGGTTTTTATTTGGAGGTTTTTCTTTTTTTTCTGTTTTCTCAAGAAGGACTATGAATTTTTCAAAAGTAAAAATACAGAAAATTCTGTTTTTAGTTGCTTTATCCAAATATGCCAATTTCAAAAATTAGTGAAAGAGCCCATTGTGGTAGAACTGCGGATGCAGAAAAGCATGATTTAAATACTCGATGATTTGCGGTGTCTGCAAAGGAAAGACCTGCGACAATGTCACTCAGTCAAGTGACGCTGGACGATTATAATGAAGATGACTTGGACTTGGCACTCGATATTTGTTTGTCGCCTAAAGAAGGAAAATTCGACAAATTAATTAGACAAACATATGCACCAGTGAAAGCATTGATATTAACGAACCATGTCCGTCGGGCTTTTGCAGATACACAACCTAATTCCCCTTACAAAGTAGATTCGGCCTACAGGGGAAACAACGTAAAAAAAACGCGCCGTGTACTGTACCCCAAGCATGGGCGCCGGCAGCAGGGTGCAAGGGGGTACACTTGCACCCCCCTGTCATAAATACATTGAAAAAATTATTTCTATTCTATTCTTTTTTTTAATAGTTACTGTTTGAGAAAATTGGCGAAACGAGAAACGATGGCCTCCTCGCACTCTTTGTTCCCCGCGACATTCCTCGGGTCACTTCCGGCTCGGATCCGGTTATTTTATTTTTATTTCGCGCCATCCACCTGTAGAATGGCGGGAATTTCGAATTTACTTAAATTCTAGTTTATTGATATAAATTTCTTCAACTTCTACGATTTGTTTGATATGAAACATTGTAAAAGAATCAAATAAGACTACAATGTTTTTTCCACTAGGAGATTGTCAAAATGTGAACAGCGGTCAAAAATTATAAATACATTCAACACACCTGTTATCTCATCATATAAAAAAAAATTGATGAACTGAAAATGTTCCCTTTGTTATTCGTTTGCGATTTGTGTTCAAACAATTTTCATCCATCCTTTATGTCTTGTCGGTGTTTTGTTTAAATTTCAAACTCAAATTCTCTTGCTCATAAAAGCCAGGCTCTTTTTTGCGATATAAAACTTGCCAATTAAGTTTGGGCAATAGTAAAAGTCAAGATATAGTTGTTCCAGTACCGATGAGACTGAAGACGGAGACTTAGATCCCGATGTAAAGGCGCAAAGGGAGAAGGAGAGGCGGCAAGCGAATAATGCTAGGGAAAGGTGGGATTTTGTTTTATTTTGTTTGTTTGGGCCTATATTCTTATGTGCTTTTAGTAGTGATATTTAATTGTAGCTTTAATTAACAAAAATAAAACAATTATTAATTTATGCTTTCATAAATAGGATACGTATTCGGGATATAAATGAGGCCCTCAAAGAATTAGGCAGGATGTGTATGGCACACCTGAAAACGGACAAACCTCAAACCAAACTTGGTATCCTAAATATGGCCGTTGAAGTTATAATGACGTTAGAACAACAAGTGCGCGGTAAGTACAAAATTATCTTGGATGGTATTTCTTTCGCCTTTTCCTAGATTGTTTTTATAGATTTGTTTAAACCAACTGGAAAACTGTACGCAGAACGATTCAATTCCAATAAGTTATTTAAAACAAAAAATGTAGTGAACTTGCAAACATGAATTTTTTAATCATGTACATTGATCGAAAAAGTGAGGTTAGAGTGTTGTTTACGAGATTATTTTAAAACTCACAAATTTGATTTAATTCGCGTCAAAATTGGAATGTTTTGTGTTCGCATTAGTGCTTAGACCTGATACAAGTGTGTTGACTAAAAGTACATCAACAATCTGTTTTCTCAAGACCGAAAAATGCCATAAAAAGAAGCGAGGTTAAGATGTCTCAGGATTGTTGCGCGACCAGAATATGTGGAGGTTGCATATGGCCGACTCGTGTTTCCGGTTTGGCAGTGGCGTATATTTATTTAAATATGGTTGTCAATACAGGGTGTCCCACGGTGGATTGACGTTAATGGAGAACTAAAAAGCGGATCATTTTGAAAATTTGGCAACCGGGATAAACGACCATAATCTACCCTTCAAAAATATTTAGGTTTATGCGGTGTTGCCGCTTCTACTCTAAACCAGTGGCAACATCGCTATTTTAAATAGAACACCCTGTATGTTATTGCATATTTGGATTCTACGTAAAATTCTGAGCAGATTTCATGTGATATACCCTATACCTAACTTCAACTGTTTTGGAAATATTGAGAGTTGAAAATTGACTTTTTGCAACTTTGACAGTCTCTAAAACCTGAACGGTTAATTTTAGAGAAAAACCGATTGCACATTCCTATCTTAGATTTTCATGAACTATCATTTGACACCAAGTTTAAATTTAACCGGAGATTAAATTTTTTAAATCATGGATTAAATTCGAAGTTGGTGTCAAATGATAGTTTATAAAAATCTGAGATAGGAATGTGAAATCGGTTTTTCTCTAAAATTAACCGTTCAAGTTTTACAACCTGTCAAAGTTGCAAAAAGTCAATTTTCAGCTGTCAATATTTCCAAAACAGTTGAACTTAGGTATAGGGTATATCACATGAAATCTGCTCAGAATTATACGTAGAATCCAAATATGCAATCAAATACAAGTTGTTCCATTTAAAATAGCGATGTTGCCACTGGTTTAGAGTAGAAGCGGCAACACCGCATAAACAAAAATATTTTTAAAGTGTAGATTATGGTCGTTTATCCCGGTCGCGAAATTTTCAAAATGATCCGCTTTTTAGTTCTCCATAAACGTCTAATACGCCATTCACCGTGGGACACCCTGTATTATGACTCACTCTTTTCGCACTAATCCCAGTGCTTATTATCACTAAAAACCGCTAAAATCCATTATACATCCACTTGAATCAGGACACAGCGAACCACAAAAACAAATGATGAGTCATACTTGGAGGCTCAATATGGCCGTTTCCGTCCCTTTGTTATCTGTAGTGACAGATAGAAAACGCTCCTTCCTGTAGTTTTATATTCAAAGTGTCAAACTTAAATAAAAATTTCCGCCAAGAGGCACACAAACCCTTTGTTTGCTTGTCAAAGTCACGTGTTTTGGATAGGCTAATAAGTGTAAAAAAACCTTGTGTTTTAAAAGAGAAAAAGGGTAAGCTCTTTGGATTTCCGTGTGATTTTTGTAAGAGAATTATCTGTGGAGATTGCACTGGAGCTTTGGCAGGAGAGATAAGGGTAATTCCAAGTCCGTCTAGAGTCTAGAACAACATGCTATTTTTGTCCTAGGTAGTAAGGATGCAATTAAAAAGATCCCAGAAATACAAAAGATAGTTCAGACATCACGAGAAGATTTAAAAAAAACACAGACACAGGGAGATGAAACAGCTAAAAAATTAGAAAATTTAAAGAGTGAGGTAGACTCTTTAAAAAAATCTATGGATCGTAGAAGAACGGAAAATGAAGCTATTAGGGTAAAAGATCTTAAGAATGAGATCCAAGTAGTGGACAAAAAAATTCCAGGAACTAGCTATGCCGAGGCACTGAAAAATCTGGAACAAAGAGTAGATACCATAAAAAAAACTCCAGAGGTAAAAAGTTGGTGAATCTGGGGTTGAGATCACTCTGTTTGAGATTAAAGAAAGAGAACGACGAGCTGGCAACATCCTTTTTGTTGGCGTGGATGAGTAAAAAAAAAAACAATTTAGATGAGAAGATGAAAGATGAGAAAGACACTATAAGTAGATTGTACAATCAGATGAATCTGGGCTTGCCAGAGACCGCTAAAATGTTCAGGCTAGGTAGCGAGACAGCTGGAAAAAAAAAAGACCAATAAAGGTAATTTTTTCAAATAGATACGAAGCATTAGAAGCCCTCAAAAACAGGAAAATTCTTGAACAGCATGTACCAGGAGTATATGTCAAGGCTGACCAAACAGAAAATCAAAGAAAATACCTGAAGCAAGTACTTATAGAACTAGAAAAGCAAAAGAGTGAAGGAAAAGAAAATGTCATCATTAAGTACATCAATGGGATACCGAGGGTCATTGAAAAAAATGAAAAAAACTAATAGGCACAGAGGTAGTTGAAATCTCTTTTTGGTACAGCAACCTTTCATCAGTGGTAAATAAAATAGATGAGTGGAAAGTAAGGGTATTGGCTCATAGTCCAGCAATAGTTATGTTTACCAAAACCTGGTTACGAGATGGGATTGATGACAGCATAATATGTCTAGATGGCTACAGCATTTTTCGAGAAGATCGACCAAATCAAAAAGGGGGCAGAGCATGTATTTTTGTTAAAAATCAAATAGATGGGCATGACCTAAGTTGCACCCTTGCTCAAAACCACCCGACAGATGCACCTGTTGTTGCTGTATGGCTAGATGTACGCATAGACAATTTAAAAATTATAGTTGCCTGTATCTACAGACCTGAAAACACCACTACTGAGCAAGCCAATACCCAGCTGAACAATACAATATGCAATGCATTTACCACAAAAATTCTAACATTCGTTTTCGGAGATTTCAACTACCCAAACATAAACTGGGAAAACTTAATTGTAACCCCAGCCGACAAAAAAACACAAGAATTTGTAGACATGTATTGTAATAGCAACATTCATCAACTTATCAAATTTGCAACACGATATAGGAACGATCAGAGCTTATTGTTGGATTTGTTTTTATGCAGTGATCCTAAAAGTGTATTTGACCTTAAATCTGAAGCACCTATAGGGCGTAGTGATCATGTCATAATCACTGCAAAAACACAATTAAAACTCCCATCCAAACCAACAAAAAAAGTGTTGAAAAGAAACTTTTATACTGCCAAATATGATAAAATAAACAACTTTATCAGACAACAACAACCCAACAGAGAGCAATATAACTTCGAAAACTTTGAGACAGTTTTGAATGAAGCAGTTAGGATGCATATTCCATTGAGGTCTACAAAAATGAATCAGCAAAAGATCTATTTAGAGAAATTGATAGAAAGCGTAAATTGTGGGATGAATACAGAAAAAACAGAACAGAAGAGAACTACCAGGCCTACATGTTACAAAACAATGCTCTTAAACAAAAGCTCGAAGAGGCTAGAAAAACATATGAACATGATCTAGTAAAATCAAATTCACCTAAAAGAATATACAAGTATATAAGCAGAAACCTAAACTGTAAGGTGACTACAATTACATTCAAGGACCCTATTATGCAAGATATCTTAGACTCTAAATCCATGGCAGAAAAATTTGCTGAACAATTTAACAAATCCTTCACTCCACGTCAAAATCGTCCCCTTCCCCAACTTCCTGTGAGTACCAGAGTACAGAACGCGATTGGCACTGTGCAGATCACAGAAGAAAAGGTCAAAGAAACTTTAAAAAAACATGAAAAAAGACTCAAGTCCTGGACCAGATGGTTTTCCAACAATATTGCTACAGAACTGCAGTGATTCGGTTGGTTCACGACTCGCGGATGCTATGCAGGAGTGTATGGAGCTAGGAAGAGTACCAGAGCAGTGGAAGCTGTTAATTGTTACTCCACTTTTAAAGAAAGACAACAGACATCAGCCAGAAAACTACCGTCCAATTAGCCTAACCTGTAACCCATTGAAATGTATGGAGAAAATAATGGTAAAAGAAGTAATAAATTTCTTTTTTGAAAATAACTCAATAATACCATTGTCTCAACATGGGTTTCTCTCAAAACGTTCAACCTCAACAAACCTATTAGAATGTCTGAATGATTGGACGGAATACCACGATAATTCCCAGCCGACAGATATAATTTACTTAGACTATGAGAAGCCCTTTGACAAAGTCCCACATGACCTGTTGCTTGGAAAGCTGGAACATTATGGAGTGCAAGGGCGGCTTTTGTCTTTGATAGCTGATCTACTGGCAGAGCAAAACGATCTTGGAGTCATTGTCACATCAGACCTCGAATGGGAAAGCTACATTGTGAAAATAGCCAAAAAAGCGAACTCTTTTGTCTATCTTATTAAACATGCATTTAGAGATCACTCAATTGAAATGATAACTAAGTTATACAAAAGTTACATCAGGCCAAAACTGGAGTATGCATTCACAGTGTGGAACCCTTAACAGTAAGGGATATAGATCAAGGATTTTGAGATGCTGGAAAAAATTCAAAGGAGAGTAACAAAGATACCACCAGAACTGCAAAATCTACCATACTCTGAAAGGTTAACAAGATTTCAGATAACAACTCTAAAAGAAAGAAGGCATAGAGGGGACTTGATAGAAACTTTTAAGATTACAAGTGGATATTATAACTGTGCCATTGAAAATATCTTCCATCAAAATTAGCAACTTCGAGGACACTCCAAAAAACTAGACAACGAAAAAGCTGCAAAACTGCAACGTAATCGGATTGTTTACTCGTGCAATGCTTTATCGGAAAACACAGTAACGGCTCCTACCATAAACGCGTTTAAAAACCGATTAGACAAAGAGGCCAAAGAGCTAAAAAATAGTGCAGCAAGAATGTTACATTATAGTGCATAAAACAATGTGAACAATATCTCTACAGACAAAACGATAGCTTCATCGGTTTTACCGCCTGCTATATTGGAACATTACAGGATTACAGGATTACATACTTTATTTCGAATTGAACTATAATTTCAATAGTTTCTTACATATTTATACCTTTTTGTTTTAACTTGTTTTTTTTGTTATATGGTTTATTGAGTATTTGTTGCTGTTATATTATGTAACATTTATTATTAATATAATTTCAGAGCGAAATCTTAATCCTAAAGCAGCGTGTCTAAAACGGCGAGAAGAAGAAAAAGCCGAAGACGGCCCCAAATTAGGTCCGGGACCTCATCATATGCTCGCTGCACAGCATTATCCTACATTACCTGTAAGTATTACGCGCCTAGAATCTACAAATCCTAATCAATAACTTTGCATTAATTATTGTTGTTTTTAAAAGGAAATGGACGTATTTCAGGGAGCCCCCAATAACTTGCCACACAACGGACCCGGCCAGCCCCAATAGCATTGCTAGTAGCGCCACCTAGCGCCACGGTCCCGCTCCCCTTTCTCATTTGCTCCTGTACATAAATATTTTCGTACAAAACGGCATTGTCATGGTTATCATACATTTTTAGCATAAATGATACTGGTTAAATGAAAAATACTAGTATATATATTTCGTATTATTTTTCATTGAACCCGATAATACTTATATATTTTTTTAAAAATAAGGATGTTGAGTAGTGACGCGCGACGCTGCGTTTTGTTCAGTGACGCGCCCACCCCCTCCCCAATTATTTAATTTTCACCTGCTACTTAAACTTTTTTTTTTCAATATTTTTATTGTTCTCAATGGAGACAGCTTTATTATTATTCCATTTTATTTAATCTTTTTATGTATAGGGCGAAATATTTTGATTTGCACGGAAATATCGTCTTTTTACAAAGGGGAAAATGGTTTTTTGATCAGTCTTATAAGTACTTATATAGTTTAATTTTGCTTTTATTTATAATAAAGGAGAATATATTATGTTACTTATTTTAGGAAATTTGAGTTACATACTAGTGCTGACAATAAATTTAACTACCTATATTACAAATTTAATGTTCAAATTGAATGCTTCACATGTGCGCTGTTATAATGCTTACACGTTTGTGTTTTTGTTTCAAAAAATATGAAATCAATGTTTATTGTACGTAATTATTTTCTGAAACGGTGGTTATAGAAAAACCACTTCTTACATGAAGGATCTTTTTTACATTCCATGAGCCACTTATTAGAAAAAGTACATATAATTGTACGCATCTATAAGCATAAGCATAACATTTGAGTGGTGAGACTAATCAGAAAATCATTCAAGCCTTTCAAAATAAGATATTTCCGATTCAAGCAACAAAAAACTATATATTTGGTTCGAGAACTTTTGAATGTGCCAAACGTTTCTTAATGAAAATACTCTCTATTAGTTTTATAATAACAATTGTGCTATTTAATTGATAATGCCCACCTAAAAAGTAAACAAGACGCATAGCTACTTAATTTTTTTTTGTATTACTTTTTGATCTCCTTTACTTTGCCATTTTTTTTATATTTGTCGAATTGAACATGACAATATTTTGTAGGTTTTATAGGTTTAAGTCTAGAGAACTGGCGAAAAGCAAGTTACTTACAACTTTTAGTTTATAAGATTTAGAATGGAAAGGATATTGTTGTAAAATTTACCTTTTGTACGAGTTTTACAAAGGGTGCCCTTTAATTTTTATTCATCAATGTGTTTATGATATATCTTGTAGGGAAAAAAACGGCAGCAATTTAATTTTTCTTTACAAGATTATCCATATTTTCCGAACAATTTTTTTGTGATAATAAAACAAATTACTTAAATAAAAATTGCTTCTCGAACCACATAATATAGGTTGTCATTGTCGTGCGCGCCAGTATAGTATTTTCAGTTTTGAAAAATATTAAACTTTGCTGTAAATAATATTTGCATAATTTTCCAGGCAATATATATTTGTATTTATAAAAGCCGTAGGTCTTTCCTCACTATTAAAATTTGCCCAAGGACTCCTAGACTATTGGTTCGTTATGGATTTAAGTGTATATGTACTTTGAAATATTGAATGTATGTATAGTTTATGCACCCAGAGGTTACCCATAAGTTGTAAAATTCAGCATTGCCATAAATAAGCCAACTCAAACTTAGGGTGGGCTTCACCTGAAATTCTTAAAATGTTTTGTGAGTCGTCAAATTTTGGGAAAAAATACTTTACCACATGACCATATTTGAAAGTCATTGTTAAATTCAATATTCAATATTCAATCATCGAATCTCGACAGCATTAATAGCCTGTCTAGTCTGCGTTTACACTCTAATACGGTACTATCTGCGGTAGGCATTTTTGATGGTTTTTTATTTAAGAGTTTTCGAGGGAAGTTCTGATTAAATAGTCCTGAAACAGTGTTCATGAAATTGTTCCATTGTTTATTAACATTACTTTTTTGTATATTATACACTTCTAGCCAGTCCTGCTCAGTCAAACTGCCCAGAAAATTAATCTTGTTTTCCTCAGTGAATAATCTAGCATATACAGGGGGACAGAGCTGTCACAAATAGTGGAAAATAGTATTTCAAATACTAAGTATCAATTACGGGAAATTCGCGTTGCAAGTACAAATACTAAATACTTTCAATTTGAAAAGTATTTCAAGTTTCAAATACTTTAATTTAGTACTTGATTTTTTCAAGTAAAATAATTGAAATACTCTGTAAGTATTTCAAGTACTTAATTAAATATTTGAAATACCCATGATGTATTTCAAATAATAAGAAGTACTTCAAGTACCCACTAAAAAGGAATTCAAATTATTCAAGGATTAAATTGTATTGAAGGCTGAAAATTGGAACGCGGATACTTTGTGACAAGGGAGAAACTTTGTGACATTGTGAAATTCAATTCAAATTAGGCAAACATTTTAAATTAGGTGCGCGAAGCCAAATTTTTCTACTGATAGGTGGAAACACATACAGGGTGGAAAATTAAAAAGGATCCACCTGGATTTTCTCGAAAATTATCAGGAAATTAAAAAAACGCCGAAAGACGTCGATTTTGATTTAGATTGCACCCCCTTACCGGGGTGAGTTGCACCCTCAAAAGTTGAATAGGGAAACTGGGTCGAGTGGTACCTTGTTTGAGAGGTATTTGAGATGACTTTACAGATCTCTAATTTTTTTCGAAATCTGACTACTAATTCCTGAAACACGGCAATTTTGTTTATTCTGAACCTTTGTTTTTTTGTCAATTTGAACCTTTTGAACAACGTTTCACATATGACTCACTTTTAATTTTTTCACGAAAAACACGTTCTCTTTTCGCTCCATGGCAACTTCCGAGGAGAATATCTTGAAAACTAGAAGTCAGATTGCGAAATAAATTACAGATCTGTAAAGTCATCTCAAATACCTTTTAAACAAGGTACCACTCGACCCAGTTTCTCTATTCAACTTTTGAGGGTGCAACTCACCCCGGTAAGGGGGTGCAATCTAGGAAAATTTTGAAATAGCCAAAAAGTGTCCCCCGTGCAAACAAAATCGACGTGTTTCGGCGTTTTTTTAATTTCCTGATAATTTTTGAGAAAATCCAGGTGGATCCTTTTTAATTTTCCACTCTGTATAGGTACCTCGCTCGCTACAAAAGCCGCTTGGCAGGTTTGGGTTTGAAACCTCCTCAGAAAAATTTGTAAGAATTTCCAATTGCTTAGGTATCAACTTCTTGTCGGGATATCTACATAAATACGCTTACGATTTATCAGTTTAACATATTTTTTTCAACAATAAACAAAACAGAGTAACTTTCCGATTTCGATCGACCCTGTTTCCAGGGCAACTTTGTGACATACATATAATTAGTAAATAGAAGAAGCTTATGTTCAACCTGAAAGGATGGACATATCTCCTAATGTGGACGACTTCCTATTGATGGAGTTCACATCCCAATTTCTGGCTCAATATGCGGGTGATAAATACTATATCGTATGATATAGAATGAAAGTTTAAAATGTCTAAATCAGTATATACCTGTGTTTTTAATATGAAAAAATTATCAAGCAAATATTTGTTGACATTTCCTATCGTTTCAGACTAAAAATGCCGGGGTTACATTATGTTTTCATTGTAAAAACGCACTGTCACAAAATTACCCTGCAGCACGGGGTAAAATTGGGACAATTTCAAATCAAAAAATGGCTGAATTATCATTATTTTTTCAATTTTCTAGAATTGCCAGTCTGTAACGAAAGAACGGATATAGGTACATGGTGTATTTTTTTTTTTCAGAATTTTATATGGCAAAGAAATGTTCGAGAATTTCAAAAAACCTCAAAACATGTCACAAATGATCCTCGTTTTACGGTACCTCTAAAAAAGTACTACAGAGATTCCAAATTACAAGATTCCAGTTGCAGATTGTAGTTACCTACTTTCAATTTAACGATTTAAAATTTATCTAGTATATTGAGTAGAAATGCCCAGTATTTGAATTACTTTTTTTGTAAATACAAGTACCAAATACAAATACTTTATCGAAAGTATGCAGATTCAAGTACAAATATCCAAAAACAAAAGTATTTGAATTATAGTACTTCAAATACTAAAAAATAATTGAAATACATTTTCCAAGTAATTTACTTGAAGTACTCACAGCTCTGCAGGTGGATAGTTTTCATTTGAAATAATCTCAAGTTCAATTTTCTGTGCAGTATGGTCCGACAAAAAATTCTCAAACACCCCACTTTTAAAAAACTCGGCATTTGTAAAAATATTGTCAATACAGCTTGATGCATTATTTGCTATTCTGGTATTTTCAAAAATAGTTTGGTTTACATTAAAAGAATTTAATATAGACAGTAGCTCCGTTTTTGTGTTATTGTCCTTTAAAAGCACCTGCAATAAATATTAATTTGTTCTCTTGAAAAATTTTTGTTAGCAGACATTCTACTTTGTCTAAAAATAAAGATATGTCCCCTGAGAGTGGTCTATATACACAAATGTTAATTGACACTGCCTTACCAAAACTGCATTCTACTGCGGCACACTCGAACACTCCACTCACTGCCATTTTTCCAATATCTACTCTTTCCTTAGATTTTAGATTTTTTCTAACATAAACTGTGGATCCCCCATGCTCACCTTGTTCCCGACAGAACTTTGACATTAGACTAAAGTGTTTCAATTGATCAGCACTTTTCCAATGTTCAGTCAAACAGAAAATTTTGCAATTTGAATTGTCTCTCATCATGTCGTTGACGCGAGCTATTGAGTTCCCAAAAGGCTGGACATTTTGATGAATTATACTTATCACTTTTTGTTTGAAACTTCGGGAAGTTTACGCTTAGGCTTCCTGGTATGTTCTACACTTGCTACGCCTGTGGTAAAAAAGAGCTTTAATAATTTATGTGGTTCCTGTATTGTGATAGACTCTTTTCATATAGTGGGCACTTCATATCTCTAGCGGAATGTATACTTTCTTTTGGTTTATATTTCATTTTATTACAATTTGGGCATTTCCATTGTATAGTCTGACAATCTCCACCAGCATGTTCTTTTCCACATTTATGACAGCACAGCTTTTCTTTACAATACTTTGCTACATATCCAAATCCGCAATTTAAATGTTCCTACACATACACCTTTACCAAATCAAATGTCACAGTTCCTCTTTTTAAAAACCATTTAGCAATGTTCGCCGGAGCTTGGACAACCCAGTTTTCTTTTAATGGAATTCTGCATTGTTTCTTTGTCACAATTTTAATTTTATCCATAACTTTGTCTTGTAGTTCAGTCTCTATTTCTTGGTTTAGCCTTACGAGTTCATCAATAAAGTCTGCATCAGTATAGCCCTTTTCTATCCCAGTTATGACAAACATTGGATCTTGCTCATTGAGATCCTTCAGTTTAATATTATTTCTGTTTTGAAGTTTCTGTTTGAGTTTTCGTTGTTGTACCTCGCTGCAGCTTTCGACCACAATTGCTCCATCCTTTAAATGTCTTATATTTTTAAATCCACCACCTATATCGTCTGTTTTCAGCTCATTTTTTCGTTGGCGTGTGGTTTTCTTAGGATCGTTGACATTATTTATTCAAATAATCGTTTCCATAATGTGGGTTCTTTGGGGTCTATGTTCATTTGGTCTATGTCAGCTTGATTTGGGCGTGAAATATCGTATTTTTTTAGCATCCTATTTTTTGTTTCTAGCTGTCCCAGTTTATATACTAATTTGGTAACCATACTATGCAATTGAAAGCAGCTCATTCTCATTACCGTGAAATCATTTTCTTCAAACTGTGCTTTTTCCGAGAATGTGCCAATGTTTTCCAAGGCTTCCAAGGCTAATTCTATAAGGTTGTGACTTGAGTTTGATGTTTGATCCTTCTGGTATATTTGTGCAGTGGCGCAGCTATTTTCTTGGGTATGGCTGAGTCTGATTTCTGCACAGTGTTTAGGAATTTTTTGTCGATCATAGTCAAGACTAGGAGGACTGGAATCAGACCTTGGCCTTTTCTGTACACTTCCCCCATCATCGTTTCCTTTTGGCGGTGTTCTGGCGATTGATCTTCTCGCCATGTGTCCCATGTGAATATCCATGTATTTAATATTTCCACTATCTGAATTGGCATAGTTCTTATCGGTTGCCCCCTGTAAATCGATGTCCAATTTGTTTATTTGCCCTTGAGTTGTTTTTTTGCCGGCGCCGGGATCCTTATCAGTGTTTACCTGTATGGAATTATCTTTTTTTTGCAGGTCCAGTGCCAATGATTTTATTTATTTCTGCTTTCGGTAGATTATTTGCTTCCACTAAAAGGCTTCTGATTTCCTGCTGCGTAATGTTTTTTGGCTCTTTTTTTTTGCATCATTCATCTTGTTTTTGTTCGAAATTTTTCCGTTAATTTACCCGAAATAAACGACTTTTACACGGAGCGATATACAACGATGAGTTTAATACAACCAGTACAAACAAACCTTAATAAAAGCAAACAACAAAAATCCTAAGTGGCTGATTATTAAGCACTGTACATTTTACTTCATCGTTATTAAAGTTAGTGCAGATATAATCAACGATGGAAGCTGATAAGACTGAAAACCGAGTTGGCACATGAACATGCATTGTTAGGTTGAACGAGCGCAAGAGGTTTCTCAAAAACTGGGTATTTATTTATATCTGTTACATTTATCTAAAAAATTTATATCAAGGTCTCCAGTCAACACTAGAAAAGCATTAACAGATATGTCATTTAGTAACAATTCCAACTTATTCAAAAATGATTCTACCCTACTTGAAGGAAACCTGTAAAGTTTCTTACAAAAAAACTATGGAACATTCAAACACTTTTTCTTCTACACCTTTTCCATAAGTATTTCAGAATGTATCACTTGTATTTAAGATTCTTCAATTCTAGTTCAGAATGCGTCAATTGTATTCCAATTGTGTAAGTTTAATTTCAGAAAGTGTTATTTGTATCTCAACTTTGTCAGTTGTAGTTCAGAAAATATCATTTGTGTTTCAGATTGGTCAGTTGTATTTCAGAAAAAGTCATTTGTATTTCAGTTTGGTCACTTGTATTTCAGAAATCGTCATTTGGGTTTCAGATTATTTATTTGTAGATCAGAAATTGTAAATTGTATTCCAGTAGTGTAGTGTATTAAATAAAATTTATAATGAGTCACCTATATGTGATAACTGGGAATTCAAACAAAGAGGATTTTCTGGAATAATCATAGGAAAATTATCCAAGTTTATTTTCTAACAACCAGTAACCATGGCTAGTAACTAGTGAAGATAACAAAAGAAATAGAATATAATAAAAATATACCTTGATAAAAATAATGACAAAAACCTGACATGACAATATAAAAACTATGAAATGCTAAGAGCAGTTATCCAATATACTACACTATACACCTATCTTGTGTTGATTTGGGAAAATCTGCGTAGATACCTACTATGTAATTTCTGAACTACATCTGACAATTTCTGAAATACAATTCACGTTTTCTGAACTACAATCAACTAACCTGAAATACAATTGATGCTTTCTGATATAAAATTAACTAATCTGAAATACAATTGACACTTTCTGAAATAAAATAAACCAATCTGAAATACAATTGATTCTTTCCGAAATACAATTTACTGATCTGAATTTGAATTGACGCATTCTGAAATTAAACTGACGATCTCTGAAATACATATGGAAAAAGTGTAGTAGGTAATCAAACCTATCAACAGATAAAAACTCAAAATTAGAAAAAAAATCATTTCGAACCAAGATTACTGTACCACCATGAATATATTGCTTAATTCAGGTGCTGGTGTACTATTTTTTTACATATTGTTTTTACCGACCTAAATCTAAAATTATAATAGTTTGAAAAGGACTTCATAGTCATTGTCTGCCCTGTTTCATTCACAATAATTGATTTATGGCGATGCCGAGTTTTACAACTTATGAGTAACCTTTCGGTACACAAACTTCACATAATTTTTGGCTTTTCTCCGCTTTTGAAACTACAATAGTCATGGAATTGGGACAAAAATATAGAGACGGATGAAGGTAACTTGATTTTAGGTTTGTTCCTACAGCTGATTTTTCTTGATTTTATGAGAACAAGCCTATAAAGAAGCCTGTCTGGCCTTGCCAATTTTTTTTACCATTTGCTTACCTTTGAAATTTTTTTTTAATATTTATTTTTCTATATAATTAGGCGGAATTCGTTATTTGAGTTCTTCAGTTTTAGGTTTTATCTGCTTTTTTTTTTGTTTGTTTGTCAGTATTTATTAATGAGGCAGGTATTTTTTTATCAAAAATTGAAGTTGTGTTATGTATTATTCGTTTTGTAATGTTTGTTTCAAAGTAGGATTAATTTTATGGAAAAATATAGGGGAAATATGACAAAGAACAAATTTAGATGTTTTTTTAAAAAACCCTTGTTGCTCTAAGTAATATTGGCTTTAATGAGATAATGTGTAAAGACCTTCATCCATACATTATTACAAATATTATGGGAAATAGCTGAAAAAAAACATGAACCTTGAAATACCTTTAAATTGCAGCTAGTCTAAACTTACTTTCGGAAATATTTGCAACAATACAATTTATGAATAAAAATAACACAATTTTAATTTTCGATAAATATTTTCTGATCCTGGGTTCTATTTGAAATACACTTTCCAAATAGAACGATTGATTTTAAAATTAATAATTTTAGTTTGCTTTGGATATTGTTTTAAAGAGAATCAAGTAGACCATTTTTTTAAGATTATTATTAGTTTAGTAAGTTTTAACTTCTTTTATAAGTTATTTTTTAAGTGAATCGTCTTAAATAATTTGTATTTTATTTCAATTTTTGTTTATTTTAGTTTTTAGCTATTTTATATTTATATATTATTACTATTATTATTGTTTTTTTTGGTTGTTAGGATGAATCCGTTTTAATTATTTCAGTTTAACTTAGTAACCATATTGGTTCTATCCAGACTTCTACCATTTACTGAAATAATTGAAAAAAATCCATTTTGTTATTCAAAAAAAAAAATGTATGCAATAATTTCATAAAATACTTCATGTTATTTTCATTCCATTGGCAGCCTATTTTTTATTATTTTGTTTTATTCTCGCTATTGGCAGCAAAATGCACTGACAAGATTTTTTTCAGTAGGCAGCCACATCGCAAATTTCGCCAATATTAGGTTCAAAAAGAAGGATTTTCGTGTCGCACCTTTGTCAGATAGAACTTTCTGGATAATATAGAAAAATTTTAGTATATTTTTTTATCAAGCAAAGGTTCCACGCTTTCCGGGAGTCATGCAATGTCATGAAATAAATATTGTTTTGCGCCAGGTGTATTATTGCTCTGAAAATATTTTTGTAGTTTTGTAACAACTTCCACGTTGCAAAATTCCCGGAAAGAGTCCCAAGTTAAAAAAAAAAATCGTAAAAGTGACATAATAGGACAAATTTGTAAAGCTTATCTTTGACTTGTATAAACGTTTTAATAATGCGGATGTGTTTTAAGTATATAAAGTATATATGATTAAAAAAAAATATTGTGTGATGAGAAAAACTTAGATTATACAGTTTAGACTACACAAAAAAATTATTATCAACTCTATGTAACATACATAAGTACATAATATAATATGTGCCATTTTTCTTATGTTTTGTGTTTTATTTAAATGGAACTCTAAATACCCAGTAGGATAGTTCAACAACAGGTGAAGACGGTGAAGTAAAAGTTCCTACCTCAACGGGAAAATAGCCAAATTTAAACTCCTCTTTTTCCTCTGCTTGTGACGATGCTGCAAAGCACCAAACAGGGTTTTCGTGACATGACAATGCATCTGATTCTTATGAGTTGTTCTGGCTACCAGTTGCCTTATATATTTGAACAGTGGAGCAATCTTATCTACCAGCAGTGCCTCAAAAACCTCACATCAATGACACGGTGGAGATTGCATAATAGTTTTTCATGTCAGATCTATTCACTTCCTCAAAGATATCGATTCTTCCTTCTAGATCTATTTGAGTCATTTTGTATTGCTCCGTAAACTTGAAGGTAGGGTTTTAGAGGTGTGACTGTAAATGGTTTCAGTTGTACTCAAGTGATAGTCAGCAGGTAGTTTCATATAGAGGTGGGTTTTAGGATATGAGCAACTACTGCGGTATACATCAGGGCTCTCTAGCCTTCTTGGCACCTTTTTGTTCTTGATCTACACACAACAAAAAAAGTTTTGCACCGCCCTGTAATGTAAAATGTAACTACAATACAGAATATTCAACAAATAAAAATGTTATTTTCAACAATGGAATGTTTCCACTACATTTACTAAAAAAGGTTCAGGAATCTGAAATTGTTCACTATTTTTTTAGTGATAATTTTTCAATTTAGATATTGCTGAATATACAGGGTGGGACATGGAAAACTATCCACCCAGATTTTCTCAGGTGTTATTAGGTGTTTAAACAAAAATCGCTCGGACACGTCAATTTTTGTTTTATGGGGGATACATTTTTTTGGTATTTTTGTCCACTACCTGTCAATCCCTAAGCGGGGGTGACAGATTCCCCCATAATTTCAATAGAAAAGGGGGGTTGAGTGATGCGTCATTTGGTAGATATTTTTATTAAGATTATATATATCCCCAAAGTTTTAAGTTGCTACCATTTACCCTGCCGAAATGGTGGCTTGTCAAAGTTAGGAAAAATGCTTTTTTCTGAGTATCTGAATTGTGTGGTTTTTACCATATAATAACAAAACAACCGTTTTTTTTAAGGGTATCTATCCATAGTAATAAAATACCATTGGTATTTAATTTAAGTATTGTTATTCAACGGCTCCGTCACGTTAGCTGAATTTTCTAAAAAAGTTGCAGCCACTTACTGTGCTCGAAGTGTGCTTTACTGTGCCGATGATATTTTGAACTGTGCCGTTTCGATAACAAAGTTATAGAAAAAAATAGATGAGGGGCTAACTTGACGCTCAGCCCCCCCAAAATTTTGGAAATCAGATTAAACAAAATTGAATTCTTATCCATTCTGAAGTGTGCTGAACTGTGCTGTATCAGGTTTTTCTCAAAATTTCCATACTTTGTCATTTTCCAGTAGTAATATAAGTAGTGCATAAAATATTTCCGGAAATTTTTGAAAATTTTATTTGAAGCCAATTTTTTAACAAAATCATGAGTGAGGGTGAGGGATTTTTTCTTTGGCGCTATGCACGAATGGTTTTGTTTAAAAAAATTGGCTGAAGACGAAATTTTTAAAAATTTCCTTCAGGAAATATTTTATGCACGTGTTATATTTTGATAGGAAATTTCCCGAGTTTGAAGTTTATTTATTATACGTTGTGTCGAATATTTTAATTATGGTGATGTGTTCTGTGATGGTGATTGTTATTGATCTTTCCCATTTAAATAGGGTACTTGCATGGAAAATTAAATTGATTATTGTTTATTGCAAACTGTAGGAAATCGAAAAAAAATCGTTACTTTTTTTTTATTCCGCCCAAATATGATTATTCCGCCCAAATATGATTATTCCGGAAGTTATACAAATATTAAGTTTTTTATATATAGATATACTGAGCATGTGCAACGTCACAACTCACAACGTATTATACCTAAGTTATGACGTCGCAAGGACATTTCAAAGCGTTGTATCTCCGTCAATTTTTGACTAACAAAAAAAAAAAAAACACGTGTTGACTTATTTTTCATGGACTATCGAAATCAGAAATAAAAAAATTTGATGCAAGGGGCCTATTGCGTTTGTCAAAAAATATACATTTTGACAGATTTCTGACATCAATGCGTTCTAAATGGAAAAGCTGGTCTCAATGACAAAAATGGCAACCTAAAGGTGGGTTTCCGACGGACGTCGCGCGGCATTGTCGCATTGGAAATTGCACTCGGTTATACAACTCACTGTACATTATTCCCATATGACACGAGAGGCTTAATAAGTGATAAGCCTGTTGGGATTATCGCGCTTGGTGGCATTTATAGCAAATTCTATTACAGACATTTTTTTTAAATATTAAAGTATTAAAGTTCGTTGTATAACCTTCCGAATACCACTCGATGTTTTTGATTACCTAATACTTTTACCTGACACTCAACGCGTTACAAGCAACACCACTCCTCCTTCGGAGTCGTGGTGTTGCTGCGAAACGCGTTTCGTGACAGGTAAAAGTATTATCCGGTAATCCTGAAACCTCTTGTGGTATTACATTCGAAAATATCCCGCTCACCAGGGATATTCCCGCTTATCAATTTTTGAAAATTACGAGGTAAATTTCCAGTTAAATATGCACAAGGGAAATTTCCGACAAAATCCTACTGGGGGGCTAACTTGACGCTCAGCCCCCCCGAAATTTTGGAAATAAGACTAAACAAAATTGAATTCTTATCCATTCTGAAGTGTGCTGAACTGTGCTATATCAGGTTTTTCTCAAAATTTCCATACTTGGTCATTTTCCGACAAAATCCTACTGGGGGGCTAACTTGACGCTCAGCCCCCCCAAAATTTTGGAAATCAGATTAAACAAAATTGAATTCCTATCCAATCTGAAGTGTGCTGAACTGTGCTGTATCAGGTTTTTCTCAAAATTTTCATATTCAGTCATTTTCCGACAAAATCCTAAATCCTACTGGGGAGGTAACTTGAAGCTCAGCCCTCTCAAAATGTTGAAAATTGGATGAAAGAAAATTGAATTCTCTTCCAATCTGAAGTGTACTGAACTCTGCTGTATCAGGCTTTCTCAAAATTTACATACTTATTCGGTTATTTTCCGACAAAATCCTACTAGCTAACTTGGCGCAGAGCTCTGAGAATTTACATACATTCCTGTTAATTAAATTTTACCAGATTTTACGAAATTATAATAATTTTCCTAGTGATTTACTGTTTTTTCAAAGATAACAATAAAAAACTATCAGATCAGTTTTTATCGCACTGCGCATGCAGGGTTTGTAGGGTTAACTCCTAAGGTTAACTCTTTAAAAGCTGCTCTAACACACCCGAACGATAAGGAGTCAAGATTTGCTCTAACTGGTTGTACCCGGACGACTTAAGAGTAGGGTTGCCACCTCTCTGGGTTTCACCCGGAGTCTACGGGTTTTTACATATGGTCTCCGGGCTCTGGACTACTAGGTGTTTTCTCCGTGTAAAACCGCATTTAACAAAAAAAAAAACGCATTTAAAAAAAAAATAGGATTTAGCAACAGCGCAATCCTGTTTGTGCAAATACGGTTTCTCTCGGAGAAATTGAGAATATCCGGCTCCGACACGCACGTTGGCGATAGACAGCCCACGAACTCAATGCCGCATAATCTCCCTCAAGGATATCAAACACTACTACAAGTCTGCGCATCGGACTCGATTTTTGGAATCAAGACCATGATGTTGCACCGTTACCGACGTCATCAACGGTGTCGTTAACTGTTTGCGTCAGCGGTCGTAGTTTAGAATATACAATTATGAAGAGAAATAATATTTAATTTTGATTAACATAATAGGCAAAGAGGAAGATGTAAACGAGATCTAAAAAGAAGTTGTATTAGATTGCTGATTAATGTACTAAAACTAAGTATGCATAAGCCAAAAGCCTGCGGAATCATAGTCTGTGGTGCAAACACCCTACTTCAAGGCGAGAAACGACACGCTGCCTACGTTATCACTGGTTCTTTGGATCCTTGGCACGGTGGGGGGCTTGAGATTTGATCTACACAGGCCTCTTATGAGGATAGGCTATCCTGTTTAGTGTGTAATATTCTTGAATCTTCTTCTCCAACCGTCTCAACTCCCAACCTCAAGCAAAGTTTCCTCGAAAGCGAAACGCTTACAATCCCGCACGTGTTGTGGCCCCTAAAATTTGGCATCAACTGCCCCCTCTTAGTTTTGTCGGAAAATGATCGAATATGGAAATGTTGAGAAAAACCTGATACAGCACAGTTCAGCACACTTCAGATTAGATAAAAATTCAATTTTGTTTAATCTGATTTCCAAAATTTTAGGGGGCTAAGCTTCAAGTTAGTCCCCCAGTAGAATTTTGTCAGAAAATGACCGAATATGGAAATTTTGAGAAAAGCCTGATACAGCATGGTTTGGCACACTTCAGAATGGATAAGAATTCAATTTTGTTTAATCTGATTTCCAAAATTTTGGGGAGGCTGAGCGTCAAGTTAGCTCCCAGTAGGATTTTATCAGAAAATGACCGAATATAGAAATTTTGAGAAAAATCTGATACAGCACAGTTCAGCACACTTCAGAATGGATAAAAATTCAATTTTGTTCAATCTGATTTCCAAAATTTTGGGGGGGCTGAGCGTCAAGTTAGCCCCCCAGTAGGATTTTATCGGAAAATGATTGAATATAGAAATTTTGAGAAAAACCTGATACAGCACAGTTCAGCACACTTCAGATTAGATAGGAATTCAATTTTGTTTAAGCTGATTTCCAAAATTTTGGGGGGGCTGAGCGTCAAGTTAGCCCCCCAGTAGGATTTTGTCGGAAAATGACCGAATATAGAAATTTTGAGAAAAACCTGATACAGCACAGTTCAGCACAGTTCAGCACAGTTCAGAATGGATAAGAATTCAATTTCGTTTAATCTGATTTTCAAAATTTTGGGAGGGCTGAGCGTCAAGTTAGCCCCTC